AAAAAAAAAAAAAAAAAAAAAAAAAAAAGTATTTAATTGTTTTTGGTAGCGGCTTTCATCAGCCACCCTGTAGTTAGAGATCTTTATTCTGATTTTGATCGGTCAATTTGAATGGCAGTTATAAGCTATGCTAGTCTGCCTCTCTTTTCTTCTGTCTTTATTTTAGCGAACTAATCCTATGAAGTGTGTAACATCCAGAAAAAAAGTAGTAGCCTCTACAAAATATATATTTAAACTATTAGCATGGAGAGCTGAGTCGACTTACCTATACTCGTTTGTCTGTCTGTACAAACGCGACGTAGTCCCCAGTTTTGAGAGAGCCAAGAAGCTGTTTGTAAGTCGCAACCGCCGATATCGGGCCACTCTTGGCTCTAACTGTAATCAAACTGATCTATTGAAATCAAATCTCTGCACAAAAACTTTTTTTGTCTGACAAGATAGCTTCTTAAAATTTGATATAGATAAATGTAGAAGTCCAAGCAATATTGTCCGAACAAATTTTTAATTCGGACCTAGTCAAACTTAGAGTCTTTTCTGTTCATTATAAACCAGTAAATATAGTTTGTTTGAAGAGTTTAGAAATGTGTTGGCATTTTAGTGAATGTTTACTAGCAAATTAGATAGATTTTCTGTGTTGCCTCGTATGTCGCAATATTGTCTCCGACCACTGTCTTGAACCACAAAGATCAATGAGAAAACTCTCATGCGTGTATTTGCTTCTGTTGCTGACTCTTAAATTGAATTTTTCGCTGCTATTAAGAGGAGCTATACTTCTTATCTTATATAGAGTACTAATAAAGAAAATTTAATATTTTAAATGACCTATAACACAAAATGTATAACCTGTCACAAACATATGCAAAATGTGTTGCGAAGAGTTGTGAAATTCTTTGAATTCTTTTCAAATAAATTGTTAATATGAAACGGAGCGCAAGGTCACGATTGGTTGATATCTTCCAATGAAATGTGGCATCTGGCTAAGATATATATATATATATATATTATAGTTTTTATAAACACGATTTTGATTTTTATTCAAGTTCAAGACAGACGGTCTGGTATTCAACGAGTCTTGCCATCCTGATCATCTGTCGATATCTGTACATGAATCTATCTATCTCTCTTATTTTCAGGTGTTCCAAATAACCGTTAAGTAAAATACTCTTCTACTCTAGTGCAACATGACGCGAGAGTATAAAACGTAACGGTGTAAGTTCGTTGCAATCTCTCTTCTTATCAATGCATGCATTCATATACATATATTTTGTCATTTTGTTATTTCATTGTTGGTGATGAAAAATATTAAAAAACTGGCAAAGTCAAGTATGCTGATTGTACATATGTTTAAATCTAATAATTGCTCTTACGTATTGTGACATTTCTCTCAACCCTCTTCGTGTTGTAACGAAGAGTTAGATTTAGTAATGTCTCTTTTGTTTGAGAGTGAGATAATGCCGGTTCCTAAGCACCTCAGTAGTTGTTTATCTCTCAAGTGCTTATATCTCTTTACTGATTACAATTTGAGTGCTTGTTTAGTTCCCACTGCCGGTATAGTATATAAGAGGCCAAACAATGAAATTAATTTCATTGCTACACTGAACACTCTAACGACGTCTGTGCCATTTTGTGAGTAAAACTGCACTAATAAAATGATTAAGTATCCTAAACAATTAATTCGACTCTCGTAAAGGTTGTAAATAAGTAAAGTGATCATATTATCGATTGCACTGACAGACGGACCGACGAGAGATAGACATCAGGAAATCAATTTATAATGTCATCCTGATCACGTTGGTATACATATGGTATAATCCCATATCTCTGACGATTAGTTCAGGTGTTACAAACAACTGTTAGTTGAACAAAACTTTTGCAACTTAATCCACATATGGCTAGCGTGGAAAAAATAATATAAACAATATTTATTTTTTAGAATTACAATACAGTTATTATGAGACTCATGTATATTTATTCATTACAGTTTTACGGTAAAAAAGTTTTTAAAAATGTCTCTGCTGCCAAGCACATTCGTCAAGGGCATACACGATGAAGAACTTTCCAAACGTATGGAGTACCGTACACTGGGTCGCACCGGACTACAGGTGTCGAAAGTCTCATTAGGCACAGCGACTTTAAGTGATTTATATGGGTAAGTTTTTATATCGAATTGTTTGTCGATGAAAGTCTATGCCAATTTAGATTTGGTAGTTAAAAGCGCTGACATCATGAGTTTGTTAAATGCAAAACGGATAAATTAATAGTTGGTCTAAGCTTTTTTGTTCACGGAGTTCAGCAGTGGCTATTGGCTCTCCACTACAATGGCAGAGTTACAAATGCATTAATTCGTCGTGCTTAGATATTCAAACAGCCTCATCTATTATTATATATATTATAATAGTTGCATATAAATTCAGAATGACCTTGTTAGAGGTCGTATGTATATATGGATACAATTTTCCTACACGGAAACTTTGCGGTCATCTTGAATGCAAAATTTTGTGACTACAGTAATGTGACTTAAAGGATAGCTCTTACAAAATTCTCAATGTTCAGAAAGTGCTTAATAGATACGAGTTTTTAATTAAGCTTTCTAAGTAAGTTTCAAATTTCGAATGAACGAATGACATAAGAAAAACATGTTTCGCAAATATTTTGTGCAGAATCCTTGTCTTCTTTCAAAAAATTTTTTCTGTCAATTACAGATATTATTATTATGGTTTCGTTTCTATATTAATTACATTAATCTGCATACAGAGAACTAGATTTGGACGATGCTATAGCAATGATACACAAAGCTATAAAAGCTGGCATTAATTACATTGACACAGCGCCTTATTACGGTCAAGGTCGTGCCGAGGAGGTATTGGGTATGGCGTTGAAAACTGTGCCAAGGCAGGCGTACTACATAGCCACAAAAGTTGGACGGTATGAAAAGGATTTGGTAAAGCGATTTGATTTCTCTGCCAAAAGAACACGAGAAAGTGTTGAGAAGAGCTTAAAATTGCTGGGTATTGAATATGTAGACATTATACAGGTGAGTAATAGTTCTAAGTTACGTTCTGTGGTAATAATATTAACGACCATATGCTTTGTTAGGACTTTTCTCCCCTTTGTTTTTTTCAAATTTATTCAGCTTAAAGTGCTAAAATTTTCTTATAATCAGATATAAATTTGAGAACACAAAATTTGATTTGTTAAGAGATCTGAAATTGTGAGACCGCCTAACAAACGAATTACTTCGCGCAGCTTGCGACAGATGAGTAAACAATTATTCAATGAGTCAGGCTACTCTTTCCAGGTTCATGACATCGATTTTGCCAAAGACCTTGATGTTGTAGTCAACGAGTGTCTGCCAGAACTGGTAAAAATTGTTAAAGAAGGCAAAGCAAGGTTTATCGGTATCACCAGTTACAATCTGGAAGTGCTTAAGGAGTGCGTAAAACGTGCCCCCTGCGTTGATGTAATAACTATTTTCCAGATTTTTTTTACATTCTTTATATAATTTTACACTTTTACATTCTCAGACCATACTCTCATATTCGCGCCACACGCTGCTGGACGATACACTGAAGGGATATGTGAACTTCTTCCAGCAACATAATATTGGCGTTGTTTGCGCGTCTGCTCATGCATTAGGTCTGTTGACCAACGCCGGACCACAGTCTTGGCATCCCGTTGTTGATGATGTGAAGGCGATTTGCAGCAAAGCGGCGAAGATTTGTAAGGAGGCCAATATTGAGCTTGGCAAATTGGCTATGTATCAATTTATGCAGTTGGAAGGAGCGAGCACATTTTTGGTCGGTATGGAAACTTGCAAGTTATTAGATATAAATCTTGCCGCTTATTACAAAGGACTTAGTAAAAAGGAAATGGAGATATTGCAACAATTACGTGCAACGTAAGTAAATAATATGATAAATTTAGTAAGCATATCACCGAGAGTGAGTAGAGAAGGTGTTTATTCAAAGCGTATATCAAGCCAAGTCCTCAATGAAGTGACTTATAGACTTGGCACTAGAAGGTACCACAAAAGAAGCTAGTTTGAAGAACCGAGTTTTCTTTGCAACATTATGACGGTTTCAGAATAGAGAAACTACCAAGTTGTTTAAGATGAAAGATGGCATTAAAGTCTAAGTCTTAATATTCCGAGTTAAAATTAAAATTAATTGAGTGAGTCAAACTATTTTGACATTCGCCAAGAAAATTTCTGGTTCTTTCTTACTAATATCACATACTCAAATACTTGCGTTCGTGATAAAATATACTCTCCAAAATATTTCTGTGGCCTTTTCAACGATTCCGTAGCCATGATTCCATTGGAAACACAAACTTTCAAGCAGAGGGTTCAGTTTTTTCCAAGGTAAAAAAATCGCCAAGTAAACTTTTGGAGACCTACACAAAAAGCTGCCGCACTGAAATAAATTGTTGTCGGTCCGGTTTGCAAACAAAGCTTAATTGGATTAGTTTGGCTGAAATTTGATCTTTAGCGTAAGTTGATGAGAAAACCGATTTGATATCGGGCTCGTTGTTGTATTTCCGCAGTTTCTATAGCACCCAACTGGTTAACTAAGTTGAACAATTAAAACAACATCTTTGCTCTGCTGATTTTCGAACAGTAATTGTTGTTATCTTGAGCTACAACAACAACATATATCTATTACTGTGCGCCTTGATTTAATTATATGGAAGATTTGCAGGAGATTTTTTAAATTTAATTATAAAAGTGAAAGTAAATCCAAATATTTTAATAATAGTCAATTTTATGTTATTAAAGAGAAATGAGTACATATATGCGTTATTTATTGACAGCCTTTTCACGAAATCATACAATTGGGATGGCGTCGAAATAGAGGAATACCGGCGTGCATTGTCGAACGCGAAGTAAATGGGAATTCATGTGTGATAACTTGTCTCTGATGTATTTAATACAAAGCAGTTTAACTAATTATCTAATATGGAAATAAAAATCAACTACAATTTAAAGAATATCTAAGTTTTATTCAATAATTTTTTATTATTAGAAGAAGCTAAGCAACTACAGCATACGTCATTTAATACTTTAAATGGTAATGGAAAAAGTTGTCAAGGACTTAAGGGTCTTATAGTAAGAGCTATGGGGTAGAATTCTTCTTCTAACTTTTTCTTAGGTTAAAGGAGGAGGAAAGACATCTAACATTTTTGACCCACATTACGAATAAATAATAAAAACTAAAATTCACTGATAAAATGAGTATAAACACGGAAGGAGAAGATGAAAAATATGTGAAAATAAAAGCGTTAAATGCTGGGAGAACTGCTAGTGAAAGCTTTTGCATATAGAATAGAATATAAACGTTGGAAGAAAGTGCTTCACTCCGTCCTAATTAAAGTGAGTACAATTTCCATTTAGAAAAATATTATTGTGCCTACATATATACTAGTGTGATCAAATTCAAAGGTGAATTTGGTCCATTTCCTTCAAAGTAATCCCTCCTGCTGCAATACACTTATGCCAACGAATTCTCCAGTCACTTAAAAAAATTCTCAGAGCCTTCTGCGATTCAGCTTTTAAACACTCAATTAAGTCAAAACGGTGTTTTCGGATTGGTCAAGTTAATTTGCTGAATAACCAGAAGTTACACGAAGATAAGCCAGGCAAATGCGGTGGCACGATATTAGTAAGGATGGATAGATTGTTTACAGAATCGATTCTCGATTCCGATTATTTTTTTATATTTTTCGATTCTAAGAAACGATCGATCGAGAGCAAGAATCGATTCTTTCGCTTTTAATCGATTTTAAATTAAAAGTACAAAAGCTTATTTATTAAATCACAATTCATAATTGAATGAATGATTCAAATTGATTAAACACATATTCAAAAAATACACGTAAACATAAATAAATAAAACACAATTCAAAATAATCCCTTAAATAACGGTAACACTCAAATTAAATAATACCTATTAAAGTGCTGCTCAACAAACTTTAAAATTTATATGTGGTTTAAATGTTAACACAACACCCTATTAACCATGACAGTAGCAGAAAAAAGTGGAAAAAAGTGTTATACAACACCCTAAGCTTTTCTAGAGTTGAGTATATGTATGTAAACAAAGCAAAAGTTTATTACTGTATATAATGAGGTATAAATAACTTCAAAGTAGTAACTTAATTAATAGCAAAGTCGAATGTCAAGAATCGATTCCTAATCAACTTGGACTACTGAAGATCGATTCCGAAAAATCGATTATTTTACGAGAAAACTCGATTCTCGAGTAGAATGGGAATCGAGTTTACCATCCCTAGATATTAGCTGAAAATGTGGCGAAATTATCACGAATAACCAATGCAGTATGCGATGGTGCATTATCGCACTTCTTTATTCAATAAATTAAGACAGAGTAAAAATCGAATAATTCACTTTTATAGTCTTACAAAACGATACGTATTTTAAATACTAATGAATATTTTAACGTGAAATTTAGAATAAATGTCAGCAACAGTACTACTAACTTACAGAAGAAAAAATGTACCGATTCGAAAAATACGCGGAATATAGTATAAATTAAAAATTTACTTTTAAATTTGATCACGGTAGTATTAGTATATAAAACTACTTACTTCGGGAAGGCCAAAAAAATAATGCCTATCAAAGAAAAAACAAAAAAAATACCATTTTTGCGCTACAGTAACTTCCTTACAAAGCTATGAACTTTGCAATTAAACAAACAAACATATTTGTTTGTAAAAAAAGGACCAATTTGCTTTAAAATCGTAAAATTCAATCGTTAGTGTCTTTTACACGGTTCAGTTAACAGAAAAATCGTATGCACGTTGAAGATTATCTGATGCTAGAAAAAAATTTTAAACCGTTTGGCGAAGAATTTCCGCGTTACAATTAAAAGCCCATACTTGGAGATACTATCCTATAGGTATCTGTCAATCAATTTTTCAGAGCAACAAAGCGAAGAAGTACATTCGTTTTTTCTGACCCATCCTAACATATACGAGTATATGTACCATATGCATATAAATAAGTAAAAGAGCTAATGACTAAATTAGAATTTCGGATACTCCCCTTGCTCATTTGATGATCTACTTACATTATTAGAAAGCAAACATTTAACATTAACATTTCTCATGCGCTCATAGATGGCATTGGAACCAGTGATCGACATGAGAGGGACTGTGCCTGAGTAAGAGATAGGAAATTAGAAGAACACAGCGAGAACTTTAAATAATTACATTTCGGAATTTATTTCATTTGATTAAATCACAACAGTCGTGATTTTTCGTTAATTCCGTATATTACTGGTAGTAAAAAGCGAATATCTTATTGTCTTTAAGTGACCTATAACGCAAATTCCATTTAAAAAACACCTTTTATGTATGTAGATATACACCTATTTTATAGTTAGACTTAAAACTGTATATACATATGTACCAACCTGTACCAAAAATAATGCTGCCAACAACAGCAGCAACACATATAATAATACGGCGATTGGTGTTGATAGTAAACCACTACAATAACAACGAGCAAAACCTTAATAATTATTATATTAACAGTTAGTGTTGGAACACGCCAGCGCTTGTCAGCACAAACTTGCAGTACTAATGTGGGCTTAAAACTACCGAGCTCCCGCTATGTCGTGCTGTTCCAGCAGTTTTTGTCGCTTGCTGAGCTCATTTTCTGCTCAAACACTTTTAACGGCTCTTTAAATGTGCGCTATAAAGCGTCTTTTTTGTTGTCATTATATTGGATTAGTTTTCTTTCACTGTTGGGAGCTGAAAATTTATAAATTTTTATGGCTTGGGGAAAGAGCTTAAAGTCATAAAGTGACTCACACATGCCTTTTAAAAGATTACAATAGAGTTTAAATTTTGTTTATTTAGAAATCTGTAAATATTAGTTTGTCAAAAAAGTCTTGCGGTATTTGTATTGAATTTTCAATTGTTCAGAAAAATTTTTTTGATGACTCATGCCCAGCTCTTGACCGATGCTACGGCAGCTACTATGCCGGTCTCTTTCGACCAATTCAGTGATTTTATCGCAATTTTCGACGACAGGCCTTCCGCATCTTCGACCACCTCTACACCAGAACGAAAACGTTGAAACCATCGTTGTGCGGTGGAAATGGGAACTGTATCGGGTCCATAAACTGCACAAATTTTATTGGCGGCTTGAGATGCATTTTTGCCTTTATCGTAGTATTACTGTAAAATATGCCGTATTTTCCCTTTATTTTGCTCCATGTTTGCGACGCTGTAACTCACGAACGACTTAAAAGAAACGACAATCAATCAAATACGTGTTAGCGCGTGAAATGAGCTTTCCAAAAAGGTATAGCATGACCCGATGCGACGAACAAAACTAGAACTACGCGCTTTCAGCGCCAACTGGCGAAAATACCGCAAGACTAATATTTTACTGAAAAGGTGAAAAAGCGATGGAAAGATGAAATTTTGATACCGAAGAAGAAAGGAAGGCAATGGTATGATGCTATATATATATTGTATAATTAAGGAGATATGATTTAAGAGGTCGCATTAAAATAGCAAATCTGGAACAGGTCTTAGATGATGGTGTTCTATGTATTGTTCCAAAAATGAAGAGAAGAAGAAGATGATTTAGAGGACTGATTCGATTTACACATGTTTCGGATGATAGATGGTATAAATAGGTATACATTCCTCAATATAAATATAGTATAGAAGTTCACTTCTATTGAAGAGAAAAAATTTGGAACTGAAAGCGAAAAGTATGTCATGACAAGCTTATGTGTCTGGATGCCACAATTACATTAACGGTTTATCCGATCTTATCGAAATAAAACTAAATTTGGATAGCTGAATTGGCGTAGAAAGATAACATAATCTTAAATTCAGTTTCTGAAATGGCTTGAGCTTTTGGTACTAAATCTTTTTTTCAAATTTAACTTGTTAATTATTTTGGAAGCTGAGAATATTTAGAGTAATTAGGTTGATTTACATAGATATGCAAAAGATTTGTTAATTTTTTACGAGTTAAAACAGCTGCCACGGGCAATTTAAGTATAAAGCACCGACGAAAGTGCTTTGAGAGTCCTTTACACAGACAAATCCCTTGCATTTATATTAACATTCAATTTAAATGAGATCCAAGTCCACTTATTTCTATTTATGCCATTACATTTTGCATTAAATAAACCATGCTGCAATGCTTTTCATCACGTTTCCTTTTATGGCGATAGAATTGGCCTTCCACCCAACACTTCACGAAGCATTAAAATCTTATGTCATTAAATCTCTCAAAGCTTTAAATTAACAATAATCACGACTTATGTGAGAACAGCAACGCCTTTAGCACAGAAAACAGATGAAAAAAGAAACTAAACGACTGACTTGACAAACCTTATGTTTTAATTAAAAACGCTGAAAAATAAAAGTAAGAAAATAGCGCAAAGTAAGCAAGTGAAATGACAATGACATACATTCTTTCACGGCTCTGTGCCGCACGCCACCAACGCTCTGCCACACGTAGCTTGCGTTCCAGGCTCTTTCATGAAGAGACACGAATATTGTTGGCTTGGGCATTTTTTACATGTGACTGATTATACAAGCGACAGTTGATTGTTGTTTTTTTTTTTTCAAAAAATAAATATGTAAACTTTTTTTTGTTGTTGCAAGGAAGTACATACATATAACCAGAGCACTAATTATAACAATGAACTTGCTTCATAAAATGCAATAGCGCGATCCTCGTCACTTAGAAGAGGCGATGAAAGTATTAAGGGACAAAGTTAGACTAGCCAATCGTGTTACTTTTTCGACGTTCTTTACTGAAGTGTATAAAGCTTACATTTGCAAAACTCTAGTGAATCGATGTTTAACATGATTGAGACCTTTAATCTGTCATCTTTATAAGAAAGGTAGTATAATGAAGTATAACCCAGATACACCCTACATAGTAGTAACCCATTGTGTTTTAAAGCATTTATATTTTACATCAAGTCAACTAAGCC